AATTTATCACCTACTGAGATATGTCAAGCCTGTATAGTATGAAAACCATGCTTCACAAGTCTTAAATTGTTAGTGGTTAGCAAAACTAGATGATCAGTAGGATATGGCTTAAATACAATAGACCATACACATTAATTTGACATTCAGATTGTAAAATAATTATTTTATGTTTAAGAAAAGCTGACCATAATTTTTAAAGAGAAGACCAGAAGAGCAGAATAGGTTAATGTTAACAATGGGTTATAATCATAGACTTATTTGGTTTAACACAAAAGGAGTTTTGCATATGAAAATTTCCAAAACACTACCAAGATTTAGGATTTATTGGAATGGAGATTTAGATATTTGGGGCCTTCTTTATACAGTACCATCTAAAAGAATTTAGCTTTTCAAATTGATTTTTTGGAAGAAGTCTAGATACAATTATTTTTTTAGTTCTGTGTGTAAAAAAAAAGTTCCCTAGCTACAGACTTTACACATTTGAAAAATTACATATATAGTTGTGAGAGGAATTATATAATTTATAGTTCTTCATGTTAGTGTTTAGCTTCAGCTATTTTTAAACTGTTTGAAATAAAAAATAATTTAAAAAGTTTAAATTTGCTCAAGAAAAATAAGGAAATTGTCTAATGTTTAATGTTAAAATCTTCATGAGATGTATCCTTGATATGGGTATTTTTCCTCAATTATATTAATCCACAAAATGACAAGTAGCTTTCTCTGCTGACTAGAAAGGAAAAAAATCTACCTGTATATTTTTATTATTTTGCTATAAAAGTACCTTTAAATATTACCAACCCAAATTTTTAAAAGAATTTAATTTTAAGAAAAAAATGTGTTTTAGTGTCATTTTAATCTGCTTGACCAAAAATACAGAAAAATTGTATCTACATGTCTACTGTGATTAAAATGAAAACCCCAGATACAGAAATTATAACTGTATTGCTGCATCATTAACATATTCTTATACTCAATATTGGGTCCATATTTGAAATTCATCTGGAGCCAGGCCTTGCATAAAACCTCAGCAACTGAGTTTGTGTTCATGATCCCCTAATCAAATAATGTAGGAGACATAGAAAGAAAAACTCCAGGATTAACATCATAAATACAAAATGCCTGCATATTTACTTTTATATAATTTGGGCTTTGCAATTTCAAAGTATGCAAAAGTTTTTTGTGTATTTTACTGTTAGACTTTTGCTTAGAAAATGTTTACCCTTCACCTAATCACAAACCATATACATTGCACCATTGTCTCTTTTACACCGAGTCTCCCATTGAATCCAAATCATCTGAAGAGAGGGGCCGGTAGAGGTCCTGTAAGACGAAGGGCAGTATAAATTGTTTACTCGGTCCTCATAGGTGCTCTATGGCTCCCAGGAGTGGAGCAACACTGAATGAGCACAAGTAGTGTCTAATGTCATTAGACCTATTAGTGACCAAATTCATATAAGAGGAAAAATAATTGAGAAACCATCTAAATAGACAAAATAGTCCTTATTTTGCCTTATTGATTTGATCTCCTCAAGAACTTTTACCTTCCTTTGTGTCCAGTTAAGTTTTACAGCCGCTGAGGCTGTCAATGCCATCCCTGCTTGTATGTATCTAGACAATTCTTTCTTGAACACCTCCTTCCCATTTGGGGTAGAAGAAGAATATGCTTACTTCACAAAATAACTTATTAGAAGCCCCAGCTGCTATTCAGCAAATTCAAGTCCCAGAGCAGCAACCTAAGTGTTGTATTTGCACATCACATAAACCTAATAAACAGTGCCTTTTCAAATTTTATGTTTGAAAGAAAGAATTCAAACTTGACTCACACCCCTTTCTAATATTCTTCCCCAGTTCCGCAACCACTCACCTAGCACCTCTCTTTCTCTCCCCTTCACCCTTATTGCCAAGAGATCTCTCTCTATTAGTAGCCAGGCAACCAGCTCAGATCTGCAGTGTCTAAGAATCCTGGCTTCTTTCCTATTTTGTACCACCCACTCTGTACATCATCTGAATGATCAGATAACCTACAAAAAGGCAGCAATGTGGGAGGATAGTGGGTAGCTTCATTCAACCCACATAACACATTTCTTTCTGATTAAAAAATGGGACCCAAGAAAGTTCGTGGATGGAGAAGATCCTCCAAGATGTTCATCTGTGACCAGTCAAATGCTTCTAGACAGCAATTTAAATAACTATTTTGTAAAAACAGAGAGGTTGCTTGGTACCTTACTAACAGTACTTTCATAAAGAAAAATATCTGGCATGCAGACTCTTGTTGTATATAACTATTCTAAAACCAAGAGAGATAACATAAAAATATGATTTTAAGGGAAGTTAAAAAACTGATTGGATTATCATAATTAATATGAATGAAAATATAGATTTTCTTGTTTGTGAAGAAATTAGTCAAACATCTCACTATTTCTTTAAAACACAAAAATTTCTGTTCAGGTAGGAAGTGTGAGTGTGTGTCTACGTGTGTGTTTAGGGGGACAGCCAAGTTTTCCTGGCCACGTTGCTAGGCAACAGAGAGGGAAAATAGAAGTAGCTACTTCTTTCCAGTTTGCAATAAAAAAGTTAATTTATTCATTGAAATATCTTCTTTTAGCACTTGCCATCTTTCACTTATTTCAGTATTTCCTGCATATGAGTACAGCCAAACATTTGAGAAGAACATTAACCAAATTTGAAGCAGGATCAGTTTTTAGTGATATTAGAGGCCCATTTTAATCTGGAGAGGTTATTTGATGTAGTTGACTCCACACCCAGATGAAAGCTTCTCTTGCTAGAGCAGCTGGAAGTGTGCCCATCCACTGACACGGTACATGAATGGAGAATGTTCATGTATGGCCTGAATTCAAAAGCCTGGAAACTGAGCCATCTCTGATTCATCCAGTTCTCCGCAAATAACATGTGCGTAATAAATGTTTTCAGATGATGATAAACCCTGTATCTTTATAAAACAAGTGGTATTGTTTTCCCCTCTCAGGTATGATGCTTGCATTGTTAATTTAAATGACAAAATGAAGAATGTATAAGACAACCAACCCTTACAATCAGTTCCCACATGACAATGTTAATAATATAAACTATTGGCCACACAGCTGCTAGCAACTACATGGAAATTTTCTGCCTCAGTTGGACAAAATAATAGTGAAATAGAAAATATAGAGAGCAGAAGTAAATTCCAGCCTCATTCTTCAAACAAAGGGTTAAGCAAGGAGCTTTATATCCCCAATAAGCATCCAGGAGAGAAAATCAGATATGGCAGGGCTTCTCAGCCATTCTAATTTAATCTCAATCACTAAGCATGAACAAAATCCTAAATCTGAGTTTAATAAATTCAAAGGATAAAGATGAATTTCTATACAAGGTATACTCTTCAAAGTATATACTTCAAAAGGGAGAATGTTCTATGAAAGAGGGCCCTTTCTGTGCTATATCCAGTGGTTGTTCCTACAAATGGGGACCTAGCTAGGTAATATTTACACACACACACACACACACACACACACACACACACACACTCACACACACACAATCACCCTACTACTCCCTCCACTCAAACATAGACATTTAGCAGATTAAATTAATTTGGCCAATTCTTTTTAGTAGTTTACTAATAACTACTGTACTTTAAAATGCCAAATTAGACTGTGGCCAAGAAGAAAACCATACTGAAAACACTTGAACAGAACTGAAATAAAATTATTGGGTTTTCTATCTGGAAAGAGCCTCTTTATTTTCTTTCATTTTTCAAAACCTAGAAAGGATAACAGACTAATCTAAGATAACACAGCTACTTAGTGAAGGAGCTGGTGCCAAACCCCGGGCCTCATCAAATAATCCAAATAAGCCAAACCCGATGCCAAGGGCATCAGTGGAGAATGACAATACAACCTGAAAATGGTGAGACAGGCTCCAAAGGGACAAGGGACTGATTCCACAGGCCCCCTTTAGACAGTGCTGTGTGAACACAACCTGGGAGGAAGCTTGAACAGAGGAGCTTCCATGTTGGTTACAGTTTAAACTTATGGAACTTGGAAGTCTCATTTTAAAACACTTAATAAAAGAAGCCAAATTCAAGAGTCTAGTATTTGATGTCCAAAGACTCCAAGAAGCCTTTGCTTATTAAAATATTCAGTGAGCAACATCATAAAACCTCCTAAGCGCCTGTATTTCTCCCCACCTTGCTTGTGAAATCAAACAATGAAAGGCCTTCCATTTCCTCCACTGTATCTTCCCCCTCCTCCCCTTTTCACTCCTTTTAGTCTTGCCTTAGTTTTTCTGGAAAAGATAAACATTACAGGTTGTAAAGGGATAAAAACAGTAGTTCTTCCATTCCCCTTCCTTAGCATGGAGAAGCTAACACTGTTTTCAGTAACTTTTTAATTTTGATATCCAAACTTGGTCATTTTCTCCATCATTACACAGGAAGCTAAAAATTAAAGTCAGGTAGTGATGAAAAACAAGGTGCTCCATGTGAGTTTCATTCACAAAAGCATGTCTCATATGGACCCATGTCCTTTTCCATTGACCCTAATCCACTCTGGAACACCATTCTATGCTATAAAGCAACTCCTGACAATGGGCCACCCCTCCAACAATGGCACTTTTTCTTCTCCTTCCAATGGAAGGCTGATGATCAATGATGATGTCTAATAAAGCTTGTTAAACTCAGGAAGCTTACAAGTCAGTGCAGGTAAGGTCTTTGTAATTCAGGACAAAAAAGTAAGGAATTAAAAAGTGAAGCAGCAACTATTTATTCTTCTCAGAGATAAGGTTTAAACAGGTTCATAGAGAAAGTAAAAGCCCTGAGTTTTACCTAAGAGAAACTATAGCCATAACAACTAACCCGCCATTGCTCACCTCCTGTTCTACCTCCGCCTGGTTATTACTTAGAGACAAGAGTGCTATTATGAGAGAGCTATTTGCTGGCACCTGTGCTGTTCTACACCAAGGTGCATACAGATTTGAAGCAAGGAGCTTGTTTATTTTCTTACCCTCTGCTTCCGCAGGCTTCCTGGGCTGGTGGGTGATGGACTTGGTGACTTGCCAGACCGTGGAGTGGAGAGCTGACTACCAGGGGTCCCATTAACTAGAAGTACAAAGAATCACAGATGGGAAAATGGCATGTTAAAAAAGTTTCATGACAAAATAAACTTCTCTGAGAAATAATTACAGAGGAACATTTGCTAAAATTCCAGATACCTTTTTATCTGTGGTCCTGAGAAAAAGCTTCAGCAGTAGGTTACATAAAATTTTTTAAATGTTTTTTCACACCTTTCCTGATGAATTTATTAATGATGTCTTTGACTGTGCAGATAGAGATTTGGGGAATGTGATTAAAGCCCTGGGGCAATTTCAATGGGATTCATCCTTAATTCGTTAGCTTCCAGTAGGAGTAAATATTAGCACAGCACTCAGGTGATATTCACAGTACTTGTTAAACTAAATCACTATATTTTTATAGTTAACAATTCACTTCTAGAAGTTCCTGCATCCATTTCTGCCCTGGACATCTCCCTCACCTAAACACTTGAAGGACCTGCTTTTAAACAAGACAAAGTAATTGGCACAGACACTTGAGAACTCCTCACTGATTGTCCTTACCACTGTTGAAAAATAAAAGCTGATTTCTAATAGATTTAAATCACTGGAATTTTACCTGATTATTAAGACTTTCATGCAACATTATCACTAAACAGAACCAAAGCCACAGAGCTCAAGTTAACAATTATTTTTCTCTAAGTAACATTACAAAACACTTAAAGATATTACTTTACAAAGATATATAAGGACAACATTTTTACATGTTTCACATCCACAGGTAGGGAAGTAGAAGTAGCAATGAGACACACACATTCTTAAGAATGCATAACAAACATTTTCTAAAAGGAAGAGCAATGATGCATTTAACTTACCTTCTATGAGTTCTAACATGGGCACAGTCTTACTGTTTGACCTGACAATAGTAAGAGGCAGTCCCTTCTCAGCACTAAGCCAAGCACCCGCAGAAATGTGAGGCAGTTGGATTAGTTAAGGATGGCTAAGGCTGCTGCTCCCAGAGCAGATGGAATGAGATGCAGGATTCATCAGCAGATGCCTTTTCTGCATAAGGCTGACGTCTTCCAAGCAGTAGTGGGAGGTGCAGGTTCTGTCTCAGGCTGTATCAAAGGTGTCAATTAAGCCTCATGCCAACTCGGGAGCCACTGCAACACCCTCCCAGACACCACTAACTCCCTGAAGGCCAGAAGCTGGAGCCCTTTTTCAGTACTTTGCACTGAATCATAATAAAGTGCCTCCGGGGAAGCAAGAGACCCTGTGACTCATCTGAAAATCAAAATGACAGCAACTCTTCTAAAGCCTGTTGACTACCCAGTACTAAGTATATCCTTAAAAATTTAGTGGTATGATGTTTATTGATTTTTCATACACAATGTTTGCACAAAATCTTTGGGTCCATGAAAGTGGGAGGTTGTTTGTCTTCTCCAAAGACCTTAAAAAAATGTCATATAGCCTACATTGCACTAATTTGTTTTGCCTTTGAAATGCATTTGGTGATTTAAAAAATACAACTTCTTTTTCTGTTTTTTTGGCAGCTTAAAGTAGAGAGCACTGCACATGCTTTAATTTGCTTGCTTTCTACAGTCCATCCTTACTGAGCTTGATGCTCAGGCCTCTTTGCACTGGACTTCCCAGCCAGTGGCCTCTATGGGAAGGGCTCCTAAACAGGCAAGAACTAAAGAGCTGTGGGCAACTAATAAACCAGTAAGCAAAATATCCCTAGGAGTTGATGGAAAACATGTTTTATGAATGTAATATTTTCTTTGCCCGCTTCTCCACTTTATGCCTTTGGTTCAACAAAACAGATTGGGGAAAAAACTGAGCAAATGGGGAAGCAAACATAGTATTGACATATTAAAATTTTGAGACGCTAATCTTATCAAGCCAATTAGGAAGGGGGAGTGGATTCTTAGGAAATCAGCCTTAGGAATACATTGTTTAAAAAAGAAAAAGAAAACAATAAAAAAACTTTCACTTCAGTTTATTGAAGAACTTATTTTCAATGGAACATTTAAATTTATACATATATATATAATTTACATACATATATAATTTAAATGTTATATATTCTATCTAATAAAAGAGAAACATGATAATTAGCTGTACGTCTGCTACCCTTCCCATTGGCTAATCAGGGAGATATGTAAATTAACTGCCAGCTAG